TAGCGAATCAAGGTTAGCCAAAATGTAATCACAGTTTTGTTAACACTCAGGAAGGTAATGTTGGGTATTTATTATTCTTATACCAATCACTGAAAGAAACAGGTGGTGTGCGCAGTCTTTTACGCCATACGTAACACTGATGAACATTCATCAAATACTTGATAAAGGCAAGGCATTTTAGATAAGTGTCCTCAAGATGGCTTAACTGTTTTGGCACTTATTTCTCTTGTCGGTTGCAGTTATGTCTGTCGTTACATCTTGTCTGTGGTAATTAAGTTATAATACTTGTGATAAATTAGGATTTTACATACAAACCATTTAATGCTTAAGGTAGACTTTTCTTGTTTAAGACTTTTGCAAACCGCTTTAACAGCGTCTACCGCGCGTGTTTCAAAAAAAATTCGACACAAACTGGGTGGGATAAAATATTTTCGCACACTTTAGTACAGAATCTGAAAAATTTTGACTTATGAATATCTTAAAAATTGAAGCCTTTGTAAGGCAAAAAGTAAACGGTTTGTAGTATTTTATGAAGAAAATTCGTACAAAGTACTCCTTTAATAGATAAATGTACTATGGCAAGTTCGGATTGCGTAGTACTGTTAAGAACCACAAATAATTTCATCAACTCTATCCAACTCGATAACTAGTCTGGTTATTTTCCTGTAATTATTTACTTCCCTTATTCTCTTATACTCTTCTTCCTTTCAATTCTTCAACGCTTTGCATTTTCAATTTTAGATGAATTCCTTGTATTAAGTAGATGTTAACAAAAATTCGGTTTATGCATAAGCGAATTGAGGGTTGTTAGTGGGATTTTAATTCTTCGAATTCGTTTTCAGTTTTGCGCACCAGCTTACAGTGGTCGGTAATGATTAATGCGTACTTAGAATTGCTTCATTTAAAACCACCCAAAACTTGAAAGCAACGATGATGTTAAATATTGCAAATCCTCTCTCCATATCGTGTGCATTCATTTTGAATGCACTATTGTTCACGGATAATAAATCGCAATCGAAAATTTTGGATTTTTGTATTAAGGCTTTCGTTCATTACGATTCAATTGAGTTGAATCGAAATTTTTAATCCGAAAGACGGTATGTAAGCTGAAATGAACACTACTTTTAGGAAGATCAACAGTTTAATTGAAAAGCAAGTAAGCACGAATGGTGCTCCCAAGTTTCACATTTCACTATGCGTTTTAAAGCGCGTCACAGAGGAATGAAAGGTATATTTATTTTGTCAAAACGTCTGCAACGGCTAGAAGGAAGCTTCAGACACCTCGCAAAGCACATATATATTCCTGATCAGCGTCAAATTCTGAGTCGATTTAAGCATGTACCTCTGTCCGTCTGTGTAAAAAAAAAATTAAGCTACAATTTTACATTTGCCTGAAACATTTCAAGTTCTTGCACGCAGGTGCTATATATGTCTCGGAACACACGTCCACAGTACCACCTAGGCCAAGGAATAAAAAATTGTTTTTTTGCTCATCAACTGCAGCGGATAAGTATTTAAAAATTGGCGCCACGCCCACCCAATACTGTAGAGTATGAAAATTTAGTTCTTTTCCTCTTCTTAAGAGTACGGTAATGGATATAAAAGATTTGGTTTGGATCGAATATAATTTTCTTATTTTTTTGATTCACACAATAACGAGTCCTGAGATTATGGAGAGAGTTGTTGTGCCGTCATTTTGTTTTTTTTTAGAGCATACTAAAACCTTTTCCCAAATTACCCAATAAATTATCATAAAAACAATGTACACGCACACACACACACAAATGTTTATTCATTTACTTACTTGTAGAATTCAGTTAAAATAAATTAACAAACGAATTTAATTGGCTCAGGAAAATGAATCAAATGTTCAGCATTGGAACGAAACTATTTCAAAATTAAGAAATAATTAAAAGAAAAAAATTGAAAAAAAAGGATGCATATATCTCCGCGACTTGTATGAATC